CCCTCCCTACCTCTCTTATACAGCACCCTCCCCACCTCACAGTCCTCTACCTACCTACAGTCCTCTTACTATATGGCCCCTACCTACCTCTTTCTACAGCTATACCCACTCACAGTTCCCCTACCCACCATAAAGACCCCCTACACAGCTTACAGGACACCTACCCACCATATTAGATATATGGATATATATATATATATGTATACACACACACATACCAATAATATGTAAGGCGTATATGTATGCATGTCTTGCCACCCCAGATGATTGAGTAATATACACACATAATATATATATATCTGTGCGTGTGTTTATATATTACTCAATTATCTCGGGTGGCAACACATAGCCATACGTATTACATGTGACAATACATGACGTAGTGACTTATGGGGCTGGCATACATTTTATTTCCAGGGCTGCTTTGTATCCCCAGTCCGGCCCTGGTCATCGACATCTGAGAAGTAGGAGCCAAGGCGGAGCCTGACCTAGCACCATGGGACATCGGCACTGGATTCAGGTAAGTGACAAAAAGGTTCTGGCTGCAGAGGTGGTCTTGTGAGCGAGGGCGGAACTATAGGGAGCTATGGTGCTAGGAGTACAATTTTTTATTCTTAGCCTATAGTTTCCCTTTAAATGTTGCTGGTGTTATGAAACATGCCAGCTAATCTATTAGCTCTATGCACATGTTTAAAGCACCAAATATTGATAGACTCCAACCATGTCAGGCAACTCCTATTAGCTCTTAGCACACAGTTTATGCATGGTTAAAGCAGCAAGATATTAATAGACTCCTTATTAACTTTGCAGCTAGCAATATAATTAATCAGCAGTGGTGATATGACGCTAATAAGTAGCTGACATGGTTAACTCATTACAGAGTAGTCCTCAGAGTCACAGCACCAGTTCTGCCATTTCAACTAGGAACAGCATGAGTATCCCTGGTCACAGCAGTAGAGTGACTGGGCACTTTAAAGAAGATTCTGGGTATGTGCAGTAGGAGTTATTAGACCTATTAGTGAAAAAGCGCAGTGCTCTGTGTAACAAACACCACCTCCCTTTGCCAACCCATGGTCTTCTCTGGCTTTATGTATATTAATTATATATTTGAGTAAATTCTCCTGCATTATCAGCCCTCAGGCAGTCATTTGGGCTATTGGAAGAGAGAACATTTTATATTAATCACATCCATTTAGCAGGGGCTATAGGCTGTTGCTGCTAGGCTCTCTGTAAATACATTTCCCCCACATAAAAACTGATGGGACACTGCCCAAAGTGCTTATATGGACAAGCCTCCACTGTATGTTTGTATGAAAACATAAATAGTTGACATTGTTCTATGCAGACTCGTAAAAATGTGACATAAGCACATAATCCATCAAATATCAAAACCATCTTTTTATATTTTTGACATTTGATGATTTATACCTATTCAGGAATTTATATAGAACAATCTGATGATTTTATTTTTAAGATGTGTTTATGTTATGTTTATGAGTACGAATAATAGTACACAATAAACAGTCGAGATTCCCCTGTGTGTGTAAACTCATAACCATGTGACATAAGCACAAAATCGCAATCTGATGCCTGACAACTGATGCCTAACTCTTGATACTTAATGCCTTTCTCCTGATTTCTGACTCCCAACGCCTGATATCTGAGGTAGGATGGAGTTTCCTGACACTAAATACTCAATGTCTGACTCCTGATGGACCTTTAGTATGTGACTAATGGAGTTTGCCCTGGGTTTACACCACTTTTTGAGTGAATAACGTTTCCCAAAATATCCATTATAATGTCCACATTTGACATAGCGGGTAAAGAAAAAATGATTCCCTACAAAAGCCATTTCATTTAGTTTTGTAACAGATAGTTATTGTGGCTGTTTCTATAATATAAATAGACTCTTGGACTGTATCATTGCTTACGCGCCATAGAAATAATGTAACATTGTTTGATTTTCATTTCAGTTTTCTAATTTTTATAGTCGTTAAGTATGTTATCCTAAACCAATGTAAATGTAATATTTGAATTACTGCATAAACACATAATCAGCTATTCAGTGATGATCATCAAGGTTTGTAACATATCTTGGACATGCCTACCAAAATGTAAAATCCCATGTGAACAAATCTAGACATACAATGCTTCTCTTGGAAATTATTTTCAATATTTTTTTTATTAATTATTTTTAATTACTTTCAAAGTGACCTAAAGTATCTTGAAAATAATTGCATTAACAGCACAAGATAAACTCCCTCTAGAAAAATTAAAAAGAATGCCGGTACATTTTAAATGACACTGTATAAAATATGATTCTCTTACAGCAACAATAAGATATAAAATACCTTAAGCTATATCTTAACATATCTGTTTTTCCCATCTCGGTTTGGAAAGGCAAGGATTAGTGAGCCAATCAAGAAATTAAAGTTGACATTTCACAAACTGATAGGCATCCTTTCTTTTATTTAGTTTGCTACTGTCTAATAAGCAACATCACATATAGCTGGAAGTAAGACATTTTGAGATTTCAATGAATCCTTAAGCAATCTTTGATGTAATTAGGGAGAATCATATGAATAACACATGCATATTTGTTGTCCCATCATTTTTTTATAGTTAAAATATCACTTTTTTATTCTAAAGATAACATGACATATGTCACCTTGATATGATTTACATACTGCTAAAACTGTATAAAAACATACATAATGGATTATAAATATGTATTTTAAATCATTGCAGGCATCATCATTAAATATTCAGTACAGAATTTTGATAGATTTATATTTTATGTGAACACACCAATTAAAAGTTTGTTTTTTTATTTCAAGGTAACACTTACACTTTATAAACTATTACACATACATGTATATATGACAAAATTATTATGACTTAATAGATTGAGAAGAATACTACATACGGTAGTATGATTTAAAAAGTTCAAAGGAGAACATCAAAAAACTCAAAAATTGTCGGTCTTGCCAGACAGAAATAATAGGATTAAATAAATGTTGCTTGCTACAAATCTACTTCTAAAATTGCTCCTTTCATTTAACAATTTTTTTATTTCATGGTTGATAATGTGGCCATAATTTTAGATAATGCCAATTGATTTGTTGCCAACATTATTAGATTTTGCACTTGTGCTAAGTAAAAGTACATATTAGTGGGTTTGACAAAGGTTGGCACAAATCCATAACTTTGTCAGTTCTGGTCTCATCTCTATGTCTGTGGATGTTGTGACAAAGACTTAAATATGAATTTTAAATTAATAAAAGTACAATAATTAAGGAACTAAGTTACAACTAATCATTTCTATTTCTTGGTGTTATATTGGAATGGGGTTATTAAATCCCAAATTAACATAATAATAATAATTTACTTCAACTAATTACAGTAAGTAACACACTACAACACATTTTAGTGAGTAACATCAAGTTACAGAAACAATTCAATGAAGAAATTAACAAACTAAACACATAACCTATTGGATGCCAATGGCTGCAGGACTAAGGAGAGATCTGATGTTATTTGCTACATCCTCAAATAAGGGGTTACGTTACCTCTTAACTCTCCTTTTATTTCCAGTAGGAGGCACTATGAAATGTAACTTTCCCAGTGTAGGCTCAACAGTGAAGTCATTGCCAGAAGCAAATGGCATAAGGAACCTATATGGTGGAAAGGATTCCTACATAGTGCCTTCTGGTGGTTCCTCTAAGTATAAACAAGTACCAGCAATATTATGCTTTATTTATTACATAAATAATTCCTGAAATTCAGTACAAGCCACCCTTTGAAATATGTCATAAACCAACCAAATTAAAAAGGTTGGAGGAGATTTTAAACTAGGGATAGGGGGGCACAGAAATCTAGAAAATGGAGAAAAGACAAAATGGAGATGGGCATTAGCACAGCACAAGGGGATAAAGATGGGGGGAGGGACAAGATCAGAACAGAAAAGGTATGTAATAGCAATACAAATTCACATAAAGTACAAGTGGCTCATGAAAATATTACATATATACTTATTAATGCCTAAATTTACAAAACGTGGGGAACTAGAGACAATAGCATACACTAAGTAATATGACATAATAGGCATAACAGAAACATAGTGGGATGAGACACATGACTGGACAGTTAATTTAAATGGTTAGACATTATTAAGGAAGAATACAAAATTCAGGACAGGTGGTGGGTTATATCTGTATATCAAAAATGGAAAAAACGTGCAATGGGATGAAGAAGACTTGGATGCTTTATGGAAGCTGCTTCGGGTAAAGTAAGGGAAATCAATTGGTTATTGGTTAGGATATATCACAAACCCCTTAATGTTGACATTGATGAGGGAGAACAGCTGTTCTGAAAGCTGCACATCTAAGTAACACTAATTATTTGGAGATTTTAATTAAAATTAATAAATTTGGATAGAGGGGCTAGTTCAGCAAGGGAATAAGGTATTTGAACTTGTTAAATGACACTGTCATATCACAACTGGTACAAGCACCCACTAGAAAGTATACTTGTCTGGATTTGGTTATAGTAAACAATGTTAATCTTTTGACAAACATTCAGGCAGGAGAGCACTTGGGATATAGTGATCACAATATAGTGGCCTTGAAATAAAATCAAAAAGCAAAAGCACATGGGGTATACCAAAACATAGTTTAAACCCTTAAAACCCTTAAAACTGTAGAATACGCCCTATTCTAAGTGGCTCTAAATGCCGCAGGGCGTAGTAGTACGTCCTCATGGTTTTTGTTACTTACCCGGTCGCCAGGCGAT